GTGGCATTAATTACAGGCTTGTATTTTGCGAGTATATCTGCCTGAAACGTTTCTATAACAAGCTGAGATCTCTGATTAAGAAAAAATGCAGATATTTGTTGAGATAAACGAGCGAAACCTCGTGATGTGAATGCACGTGAGACTTGTGGGTTCCGTTCAACAGCTTCGCGGCTTGGTCGTATGAATTTGCAAGTACTGAGATCATTCTGCGAAGAAGGTTTCGTCGGAATAGGAAGATAGCTGAAACGCCACGACGTTTGAAGTACTCTACTATTTCTACATGGTGCTGCATCAACCCCTACAAAGAATGACACCGTTCATCGACACGATCATGATGTTTGTTTTGTGATAACATTATGACATATAAACATAGCGTGAATATAATAGATCAAGCCTACCGCTAGCAGATATTGTTTACTTTGGTCTGTTACGTATTGTTGTCAACTTCGCGGTTTTAAAACATGTCTACTAAGGAGAGGTTTTTCACGCCCTTATAAGGAATGCTTTGTTTCCCTCTCCAATTAATGTGGGATCTCACAATCTACCTCCTTGGGGCCCAGTGTCCTTGTTGGCACATCGTTTAATGTCTGACTCTGATACCATTTGTAATATTCAAAGTCTACCCCTACCAGATATTGTCTGCTTTGACCCCTTACATATCGTCATCAGCCAGCTTTAAAACACGTCTACTAGGGAGAGGTTTCCACATGCTTATAAGAAAATGCTTCGTTCCCCTCTCCAACCAATTTGGGATCTCACAGTGAATATACGATCCAATCAACATATTCAAAGAACTTGAAACTTAGATTTAACACTTTGTGAGATCTCACATCGTCTACCCCAATATAGGTTGGCAAAATGGTGAACGGATTCAATTTTTCGTGTAAATATACCAGAGACCTACTCATATCACAACGCATCATAAACCAAATTGGAAGCTACTCAAAACGAGATAATTTCACGATGTAAGCATCACGAAAACAATGGTTCATACCTGATTAAGCATCCACTTAAGGCCAACAGCTGCTGTGCACTCGTTTTTCGAAGCACTACTAAACCAGTCCAGATTGTAAACTTTATCGAGCGTTTCGACAATGGTTGATATATTACTTCTCCTAACTTTAACCGAGAATATCTCTCCGTTGGAACTTATGTTAGTATGGTTATTTAATAACGTCTCGAACCAACCACTGCCCGATCTCTGCATCGACAAAATGGCAAAAAATCGAACCGGGTGGCAAGCACATTCAGCCCTGGAAACGTGCAGAAAATGTAGTCGTTATCAATCTATTCGATTTCAATTTTAAGTCAAACTACAAAATGGATACTCCTTTTACCTGCTATATGTTGTAGGTTTAGGAAAGTGCACAAAAGGAACGTCTGAAGGATCGATCGTAGGCTTCGAACACGGCATGTCAACAACCTGGACTCTTAACAACCCGACCTTTGTACTTGTGCTAATTTGCTTTAGACAAACTGTGCATATAAATACACCACAGACCATGGCAAAGACCAACACAATCATCCTTAGCATCAATGGGGATTTCTTAGGGACCTTTAAAATAAAAGTTTCCTGCCATTATGAAAATCACTGTGATGCAAAAGCTCCCAGAATTCAGATATAAAAGATTGAACAAAAAAGAATTACTCATAAGATCCTAGGATTGACCATGCTCGTGCTAGACCTAATAATCTTGGGGTTTAATATTTGATGAGGAATAGATGCACCAAAGTGGTAAGGGCCCAAGTCCACCGTGAGCAGATATTGTCCTCTCTAGGCTTTCCCTCTTGAGCTTTCCCTCAAGGTTTTTAAAACGTGTTTGCTACGGAGAGGTTTCCACACCCTTATAAAGGGTGTTTCGTTCTCCTCCCCAACCGATATGGGACCTCACAATCCACCCACTTTCAGGGCCAACGTTCTCATTGGCACATCGCCCAGTGTCTAGCTTCGATACCATTTGTAACAGCCTAATCTCACCACCAGCAAATATTGTCCTCTTTGGACTTCCCCCGAAGGTTTTTAACACGTGTTTACTAAGCAGAGATTTCTACCCTCTTATAAAGGGTGTTTTGTTCTCCTCCTTAACCGATATGGGATCTCACAAAAGACCACAGCGATTGATTTCTTGGCATTATGAAAAGCACTGTGATGCAAAAGCTACACCCCATGAATCAGAGATTAGATTCAAACAGATTCAGCTCCCATAGCCAAAAGGGTCATCATAGAATTACTCAAAAACATCCTAGGATTGAACATGCACAAGCTAAACCTTCAAAACTTGAGTTTAGACAGAACATAACAACTAATAATTCGATTCAAACAAACAGAAGCAATGATCTCAAACAAATCCAGAACAAGAAATCCCAGTTGGATTCAGTGTCAGCTCGAATGTAAACGACATAATCAAACCCGAAAATCCAGGACGCAGATCAAAGACGACAGAGATTACAGAAATCATTAAAAACCCAGAACAAAAAAAACACAAAGAAACGGATGTTTTGTTGTAATACCTTGGTCAATGAAGAGGGATCATCCGCCATTGTTAAGAAGGTAAAAGGGAAAAGAAGGAAAAGGGCATTTGAGGAGCTCAGAATCTTCTTGGAATCCCTCCTTCTGACTTTCCCTTTAATTTCCTTCTGGAATTTTTGTCTCCCATCGCTGTGTAGCGCCTCAGTCAAATAACAGAAATGGAAAAGAAAAAAAGAAATTAAAAAAACGAGATGAAAATATAGAGAACAAAAAGAGAAGGAAGAAAGAGAAATTAGATAAAAAGGGGAAAAAATTAATGGGGTTTGAGGGTTTCTCGTGAAGAACAAAATGATTATGAGGCTCTCCTAAAAGCCTTCGACCGTTGCAACCTCACTCTCTTCGATCCTTATTTCTCTTCTTCTTCTTCGCCTTTTGAGCAAATCCTTCCTTCTCCCTCCTCCTAAAAATATTGAAAAATGTCTCATTATCCGACATAAATAAATTAGGTTTAAATTTCTAGTCACACTTATTACAAAAACAAAAAAAAACATTAGTAGATGATGTCTTAAATTATGCAAACGTGCACCGTTAGCTACAACTGATTAATTACTCGAGCTGAGTCTGATACCCATTATATTGTGATCGAAATATTATCGACAGCTTCAGTATCGATAATAACTATAAAATTATTTAAAATCTTTTATTAATCTTATTTAACGTATAATTATGTTTTTTAAATATACTCAAACTATGTCGAATTTAGTGCAACTTATTGGTAGTTTAAATTAGCTAAGATATTCGTAATTAATTAATATTTTGAAAATATATTAGTTATAGAATATATCTTAAATAATTTTTTTTTTTTTTTTTTTTATGATTTGGTTAGTAATATATTTTATTTATTCTCAAGATCTAGTTAGTTTATATTTTTTTTAATGGTAAGTATTAGTTGATAGCTTGTATCTTATTTAAACGTTGTGAATATCAATGAAGATTGAACTTTTGATCTCAATTTTAATTCTCATTAACTCTATATTGGTTACTTGAGTAATAATATTTTCAGATCTATTGACATTTTGTAGTGGTATTATATTTTATTATGTATTTTAGTTTCTTTAAATAAAAATACATTTGATTAAAAAAAAAAAAATTATAAAAAATAAAATAGAAATAAATGTCATATATATTTTTTAACTATAACAACCCCAATCTAACAATATGAACGCCTCTAATTTCAAATTAATATAAAATTTGTTTTAATGTTTTTATGAATATTTTCATAAACGAAGGAATTTAATAAATTATATTTTTAATATTTGAAATTATTGTCTATTTAGCCTCTAAATAATAAAATTAATATTTTTAATCGATCTATTATATTATTTTTAAAAAGTGAGATATAAATAATTTTTTTAAATCGATTCATTATTCGACTTTAATGAGTCATGTTTATAGATTTATTTCGAAACCATAAAATAAAGTTGTAAACTTAGGAAAATGAACAATCGAATGTCGTATTCATATTTGAGTTGGAGTAAAGGAGTAGTACACATGTGACCACGTAATGGCTAATAACATCTTATAATTATTCAAGTGGCAATATTATTGTAAATGTCTATTTATTTGATTTTAATAAAAAAATGTTAATGTGATGTCTCACAAGGGTGTGGAAACCTTATTCTAATAGACGTGTTTTCAAGTTGGGAGCTCGAAGAGGACAATATTTGCTAGCGATGAAGCTGAGTTGTTACAAATGGTATTAGAGCCAGACACTAGACGATGCGCCAACCTTCTCGTTGTTCTTAGAAGGGAGGTAGACATGAGGCAGTGTGCCTGTAAGGACAAATTTGGAGCGGTCCCACATCGATTGGAGCCTTCTCGCTGTTCTTAGAAGGGGGGTAGACACGAAGCAGTGTGCCTGTAAGGACGGATTTGGGGGTGGTCCCACATCGATTGGAGGAAGGAAAGAGTGCAGGCGGGAGGTAGACACGAGGCGGTGTGACTGTAAGGACGTATTTGGTGCGGTCCCACATCGATTGGAGCCTTCTCGCTGTTCTTAGAAGGGGGTAGACATGAAGCGGTGTGTCTGTAAGGATGGATTTGGGGGTAGTCCCACATCGATTGGAGGAAGGAAAGAGTGCAGGCGAGGACACTGGGCCCTGAAGTGGGGTGGATTGTACATTGGTTGGGGAGGAGAACAAACCACCATTTATAAGGGTGTGAAAACATTCCCCCACGAGACCAGTTTTAAAGCCTTGAAGAAAGCCCTGCTACGGGTGGATCTGAGGCGTTATAGTTAAAATATAAAATATTTATTTGTTTATTTTGAAAGAAACTCAATTTAATATATATTATAAAAAATAAAATTTACTTTTAATAATTATTAGAAAATAATAATTGAAGGATTAAATGAAATTATAATAAATATATGTTTGTATAATTAAAAACCAAAAACTAATTTCGAATAAATAATTTATATAAAAAAAAAGAGTATTTTTTATTTATTTGTTTTTAATTTAGGCTTAGAATTGAGAGCTCAATGAGAAATTGACCAGATATTTTTTTCCGGCGAGTTTCAGCGCCACTCGTAAACCTCTCATCCTCAAACAAGCAACCTATTAAACCCATATCTCCATCTCTTTTTCTTTCTGGAATCTTCAATCGAAATCCGCCAATGGAGAAATCTGTTCTTCTCCGTTCTCTCACCTGTTCCTCTTTGGTATGCAACAGAATCTTTTTCCGTTCGGCTCACAGGTTGTCTCGCTCTACATTGCCGCCATCTTCGTCGTTTGTTCCGAGGAAGTTACACCGTCTCAATTCACTGCCTCGTCGTCATTTGAGATTACTTCCGGCTTATTCGCCTTCTCGTCCGCTTCACTTCAGACAGAAGTTCTCGTCTCTGGCTCCGCGTGCTGTTGCTGCTTCCCCTCCTCACTCCCCTCCAGGTTTGAGTTTCATTTCTGTTTTGTTTTTCAATTCCATGTCTTAGCCAATTCGTGAAAACGATTTTGAATTGTTGTTGTTCAGTTTTTAATTTCGTGTTTGATTACAAATTCTGTTTTTTCTTTTGGCGTTTTTTTTCTTTTTTTCTTTTTCTAGTTTATGAGATTCGAGTCCATGTTTGATTGCGATAAGTGGACCTGAGTGTTGTTTTTGTTTGTTTTTGGAGCGTAGAGTTTGCAGAAGTGTCTGATGAGGTTGCGGAGAAGCTTGGATTCGAGAAGGTCTCTGAGGAATTTATTGGTGAGTGCAAGTCAAAAGCTGTGCTTTTTAGACATAAGAAGACTGGTGCGGAGGTGATGTCCGTGTCGAATGATGATGAGAATAAGGTCTTTGGAATTGTTCTCCGTACACCACCGTAAGTGTACTTTGAGTTTTGGCTTCCAGTTTGACTACTTGCTGGTATTTTTTTTAACGAAAAACCAACTGATAATTACGACAGGACATGAACTATCATTCTCAGTAGTTTTCGTAAAATCTCAAATTGTAACTCTTTCACAGGAATGATTCTACTGGAATTCCACACATATTAGAACACAGTGTATTGTGTGGATCAAGGAAGTACCCAGTAAAGGAGCCTTTTGTTGAATTATTGAAAGGAAGCTTACATACATTCTTAAATGCATTTACATATCCTGATAGGACATGCTACCCAGTTGCTTCAACAAATACAAAGGTAAGCAGTGATATGCGAATCACACATAAGATTGTAGTGGCTGAGATGCAAATATTGTTAGAGTTTTCAGCAGACTGAAGGTGACTTGGTTTTTATCCCCAGGATTTTTATAATCTTGTTGATGTATACTTGGATGCGGTCTTCTTTCCTAAGTGCGTGGAGGACTTTAAGACGTTTCAACAAGAGGGATGGCATTATGAACTAAATGATCCATCAGAAGACATATCTTATAAAGGTAATTTAGCACACACTCATCATGGTGTGCAGTATTCTCTCTACTTCGATGAGAGAAAATGTTAGATTCTAATTTCTTCACTAAATCTTTCCTCAATGCCAGGGGTGGTGTTCAATGAAATGAAAGGAGTTTACTCCCAGCCTGACAATATCCTAGGACGAGTTACTCAGCAGGCAAGAACCATTTTGTTGTTTATCTTCCTCTGGTTTCCTTTCCCCCTCCTATGCTCTAGAACCTTTGCTCATGTTGTTCGTGTGTTCTTATGATCAGAAGATTTCAATTTTTTTTTAACCAAGTAGCATTACCTATGTAAATAGTCCATCATCAAAAGCTGAAAAAAGAAAGGGGGGGAAAAAAGAAAAACTAGGGAGAATGGGACTCATCCTTGAAGATTACTAGGAATCAGATCCAAAATTGATTTCGTTGTATGTCCATAACGGTAATGTACAACCGATTTCTTAAGGAGTCATTTAGAATAGAAAAAATAGGGAGAATTGGACTCATCAGAAATTTAACCACACACACAAGTAAATATAAAATCAAATAAGAAATATATAAATCAATCTTTCAAAAGCATATCCAGCTAATATCTACTTGAGTTCAGACAGTTGGAGATGAGAGAAACTGAGAGCCTATTTTGCTGTTTGCCATGTAGCTATGGTTACTTGTATTGCGGATATTTTATAACATCTCTATATCTTGTCCATAATTTTTTAATGTTAAAACATGGAAAAAGAATTTAAAATTGACCTTCTAGAGAGCCCTAAAAGAAGGAAGACTCCGGAATCTTTCCCAGAAGAAGAGCCGCAAAATATTTGAGTGTTGGGACAGGGAAAGAGATGTCTGGAATTGAACCTTTCAAAGTGTCCTAAAAGATGATGAAATTCTGGATCTCACGTATCTATTAAACTCTCCTTGATTGAAGATGAAAGAGTGGTTACTTGAAAATACCAGAGAGTTCTACAAATCCTTGTCCCAACACCTTGCAGCCCCTCTCCTCAAGCCCAAAGGTTAAGGTGTATTTGGAATCTTGGAGAGGAACCTTCCAAGTTTGCATTTATCATACAGACTCTAGGTTGGAAAAGATGAACACAAACGATACAGTGAAAGCTATTCTCCATTTTGTATCTTTTCATTGAAATGAAAAATTCCGTCTTCATAAGTAAAATACTCTAGAAATGATCATTTTTCTTAATTGATATAATTACTGTAATTTTGAATTGAGAAGGTTAATATTCTAGAAAAAAAAAAAATATAGCCTTTTGATGTTTATTGACAATTGGTTGACTCTCCTTTGTCAGTTTTCTGGGAAGAAGTTATCTCTACCCCTTCTCTGTAGGTTGTTCTGATGAATATTCATCTCCATTCATAAAAAAATGACAAAAAAAAAAAAAAAAACTTTATAAACTTTTATGTTTTAGTTTATTAAGTCCTCAAAATTTTAATTTTGTATCTAATAGGTTCTTAAACTTTAGATTTTGTGTTTAATAGACATTTTATAAAGTTTAGGTATTAATTATATAAAATTAAAAGTTTAGGGTTCAATAGACACAAATTTTAATTTTATCTTTAATAAAATCTCGAATATTTTAAGGGCTTATTAGGCACAAAATTGTAAGTTTAAAGGCCTACTACACATTTTTTTAAATCCAGAGACTTATTAGACACAATTTAGATACTTGATTCTTAATTTAATCTATAAAGAACCTATAAAGAACCGTAAAATCCAATTTCATTGATTATGAGTAAGTTGAATAAAATCTATTTGTTATATATGTAGTTGGTTGTTCATTGATTATAGTGTTGCAGGCTCTTTTTCCTGACAATACATATGGAGTTGATAGTGGAGGTGACCCACGAGTTATTCCCAAGCTTACATTTGAGGAATTCAAGGTTATTTTTCTTAGCATACTTTTATTGGAATTGATTACAGAATTTACTTTTTGAAATTCTAAAAGAACAAAGGAAGTACAGTAGATGGGAACTTGTAAGAACGCTTGCCAGTTGGATAATAACATGAAAAATGTAAATCCTGAGGTTGCAGCCACTTTATTTTGGTTAATGCTTGTCATGTGGCCTGTAGGTTGATATCTGTTGCCTTGTACATGCCATAGTTGAAAGTTGGTTAATTTTTAATCTTTCAAGTTTTGTTCTCTCTCTCTCTTTCTCTCCCCATGCATTTATGCATGTATGTGCATATGACACATATTACTTTACTCTTGATGAGAAAAATGGGATTTTATAAAAGATCGATATAGTATGTACTATGGAGAATTTTACTGCCGTATGTACCACGTAAGAGAGAACTGCAGAATGATCAGTTCTTTATAAATGTTTTGCCAATTGATGACCTGAGTTATTTGTATTCCTCTTAATTATCTGCTAACTAATTAAAGGAGGTATATTTGTATCCCCTTGAGGATTTTGGTATGCAGTAATGGAATGAGGGAAGATGGCATCATAAACCTATGTTTTAAATGGACATTTGTATCTTAATTTCTTTAATTTTTAATTAGAGATATTTTATTTTAAATTTAGTATGAAGTGTTTTTTTTAAAGGAATTTGAAGTATTTTGTTTTACAAAATGTTATTAAGAAATTTAAGTTAACGTTATGCCGTTCATTATGAAAAACAATTATCAGGATTTCCAGCTCCAAGGATGTTGATTTTTTGTTATTTTTTGTTTTTTAGTTGGAGTAGGATTGTATCAATCGCTGATTATCGTGCTGTGAGAACTGAATCTGTAGTGTACTTATTTGTTTAACTAACTCTATAGAGCTAAAACTCAAGGATAGCTATCTGCTTGCTTAGTTAACATTCCAAAAGGAATGGACTCTCTCTATTTCAACAATGCGCATGCACGTATGTTTACTATCTTTTCCATTGAAGTTAAACTGTAATCCTTATTTCTGCTCATACATATTTCTTTCACTTTGGATGATCTTCAAGTTGTACGTTCTCTCTCTCTTTTTTTTTTTTTATTTATTTTTTATTTTTTTAGTGTTTTCTCATTTTTCATGCCTGCAGGAATTTCACCGTAAGTTTTACCACCCAGGAAATGCAAGGATTTGGTTTTATGGAGATGATGATCCAGTTGAACGACTGCGTATTCTCAAAGGTAATTAAAGGAGAATGATAATAATATATTTTCTTTGGAAAAGGCAATTAAGTTTTCTGTCCATCATTGTTTTTATTTAATGTAGTATTAGAAAGTCATGGATTGTTTTTTTTTTTTTTTTTTTTTTTTTTTTTTTAATAAAATGTGCGAACTTGTTATAGTAAAATAAGGCATAAATATGAACATTCTTGAACCTGGTTATCGTTGACACTTCTGCTTTACATATTTCTTTATTTCAATAAAACCATTTCTTGCCAAAAACCATGAGTATTACCTTTTTTTAAATGAAATCTATTTTTTATTTTTAAGAATGCACAAACATAGAGTGACACCTACATGCACACAGATACACCAACTTCTCATTAGTTTGAAACAGTAACACAATTTCTTTTCAAGAAAATTCCTTTTAGTTCATGTTGATTTTCCCACTTATCATTTTTTTTAAAAAAATTATGTCGATATTTTAATTTGTTTATTCTTGCCTTTCTCTTGGGTGTGTGTTTTTTTTAAATTTTATTTTCATGTGCACCATTTGTTTAAAACTTATGTTGACATCCTTCCCTTTATGGAGGAATAAAGTAGATCAAATGCGACAAGGTTTATCTGTGTATGTGACATCCCATGGCATTTTATTTTAACAATGTAAAAGTTTGACAAGTCATATCAATTGAAAAACATGAATTGGTTTTAAGGCCCTATTCCGATTGGAAGACTGAAAGAGAGCTTGGGATAATCGTGTTTTGAAGGGTCAACAGTAATGTTTGTTTGCTTTTTGTAACTCCTTTTGGACAGCAATCACTATTAACTTGTTATGATAGGTTTTTGTTACTCATTAATGACAGGGGTGTGCGTTAAGATGTAATCAAAGGATAGAACTGATGATAAAATTTTGAGAAGTACGGGAATTATCAATTAAAACTAAAGTTAAACTAGACCCTGTAACTTAACCATAATGTTTTTGTTATTGGATTATGTATTTTATCTGTTACTGACTAGTTTACTCACTTCTCTGCCCCCATCACAGAGTATCTAGACATGTTTGATGCTAGTCCAGCATCCAACCAATCTAAGATTGAGCAACAAAGGCTATTCTCAGAGCCGGTTAGGATTGTTGAAAAGTATCCTTCTGGTGATGAAGGTGATTTGAAGAAAAAACATATGGTCTGTGTTAATTGGTTGCTTTCTGAAAAGCCCTTGGACTTGGAAACTGAGCTTACTCTTGGGTTTTTGGACCATCTTATGCTGGGAACTCCTGCTTCTCCACTGAGGAAAATCTTACTGGAGAGTGGTCTAGGAGAGGCCATTGTTGGTGGTGGGATTGAAGATGAGCTCTTACAACCACAGTTTAGTATTGGATTGAAGGGTGTTTTGGACGATGACATTCCAAAAGTAGAAGAATTAATTCTAAATACATTTAAGAAATTAGCAGAGGAAGGTTTTGACAATGATGCCGTAGAGGCTTCCATGAATACCATTGAGTTTTCCCTGCGGGAAAACAATACTGGATCTTTCCCTCGAGGCTTGTCACTTATGCTTCGATCCATTGTAAGCTATAACTATAACCAGCTCATTTTATTTCCTAGTTAGTCAAATTCTTTTTTAAAGTTGGTTGGCTTACAATTCTTAAAAATTAAAATCAACAGGGTAAATGGATATATGATATGAATCCATTTGAACCATTGAAGTATGAAGAGCCTTTGAAGGCCTTGAAAGCCAGAATAGCTGCGGAAGGACCCAAAGCTGTTTTTTCTCCTTTGATAGAGAAATTCATCTTGAACAATCCTCACCGAGTAACTATTGAGATGCAGGTAAAGTACGCTGAATCTTTCACTCAGAATTTCATTTGCTATGTCGTTAAATTTGATTTCATTAGTTTCCATCTTGCCCTCCTTTGACAGCCTGATCCAGAGAAAGCTTCTCGTGATGAAGCAGCTGAAAAACAAATCTTGCAGAAAGTTAAGGAAAGCATGACGGAAGGAGATCTTGCTGAACTAGCACGTGCTACACAGGAATTACGGCTGAAGCAGGAAACACCTGATCCACCAGAAGCTTTAAAATGTGTCCCATGCCTTTGCCTTGAAGATATTCCTAAAGAACCTATTCGTATTCCATCAGAGGTAACCATATCAATCCATATTTGAGTTCAGTGGACAATCTGCATTCTAGCTTAATTTCTAATCTCTTACTCTTTAATATAATCTACCTGCAGATTGTTAATGTCAATGGAGTAACCGTCTTACAACATGAACTCTTCACAAATGATGTTCTTTATTCTGAAGTTGTTTTTGATATGAGTTCACTGAAGCAGGAGCTTCTTCCTTTGGTACCCTTATTTTGGTAAGTGGTGGAACTTCATTAGTATGTTGGTCATTCCAGATAGCTTGTAACTTTTTCAAATTCAACAAATATGGAGTGAGGGATCAAATCTTCAACGGTATGGAAGGCTAATAGGTGCTTTTCTATTATGCTATGCTCGGATTGACAAATAGGTTTTCATTTGCATTCCTAATTTTAAATCTTGCAAAAGCTCAATTACTGAAGAATTCTTAGGTGCCTCCTCAAAATTGCAATGATTAACTTGTGAGTGAGATTCCTAAAGGGAATTTAAAAGGCAGATGCGAGAAACAATATTTAAGCCATTTTTGGAGTTAGATCACCTATAGTTTGAACATTAAATCTCGTAAGCTAGTCCGACATAAGGATGGGTTTTCCAGGCAAATGAAAGGTTATAAGCACCTAACTCCGAACAGTTACAAGAATAGGAGAAAAATATGAACAAGAGAATTTCAAATTTAAATACAGCAGTTCTGCCCTCGGATTAGAGTTTCACATAAATATGGCAATTGTAGCCAAGAGATTTAAAACCACAGCAAGGTAAAATAACTTATATTTGAGCTTGTGACTTCCAGAAACACGTTATATTTGTCACAATAAGAGGGAAAAAATTAAATAATTGCTGTAATAATTAACCATTGTCTTATGTCAAAAGAAATGATAAACAGAATATTCTGTTTATGTTGAGATACATTGAAATGTTCTAAGCTATCTCCTCCCCATTTTCTGTAGCCAATTATCTTATAGATGATATCAATCATTAATGTATAGTGTGTCTTGTGCATTTGATCGGAATTTGGGAGTGGTTTGATGTGAATCTTAACATTTTTACCGTTCTTTGGAGTATATCTTTTTGACTTCCAAATGTTCTTTGACAGTCAATCATTGTTAGAGATGGGCACAAAAGACTTGACTTTTGTGCAACTTAATCAGTTAATTGGAAGGAAAACTGGTGGGATATCAGTTTATCCATTTACATCATCTATACGTGGCAATGACAAGGCATGTACTCATATGATTGTCAGAGGCAAGGCTATGTCAGGATGTGCTGAAGACTTATTCAACCTGGTATATAACTTAAATTTTTTTTTGAGTTTTCTTAATTAAAAAAAATATGTGCACTGCGTATATTCTCTGGTTTATTTATGTGGAATGCCGACTACCAACAAATTTGTCCTTTTATATTCACATTTCAACATTGTGCATTTTTTTACTGCGTTGTAGCTGAGCCACTCACCGTTACTATTGGCTTTTTAATGTACAACTCACAGTTAGCTACTTCCTGATAATAAACTAAATAGTTCATTTCTTTTTATGGTGTAGATGAACTGCATTCTTCAAGAAGTACAGTTTACAGATCAGCAACGGTTTAAACAGTTTGTATCTCAGAGCAAATCACGAATGGAGGTACATAAAATGAATAAACGACTAAAATGCTGATACCCACAATTGTGATATGTAAAGTATTAATGTTTATGTGATATCTATCAGAATCGGTTAAGAGGTAGTGGTCATGGAATTGCTGCTGCTAGGATGGATGCGAAGTTGAACAGTGCTGGGTGGATCTCTGAACAAATGGGTGGTCTCAGGTTGGTATATTTTCAATATTTTCATTTTGGTCTTTTCTGATGCTATGCTGTCGACGTGCATGCTCCTTTTGGGCATTTAACTCTTTATATGGTAATGGAACTCTTTTTGGGATTTGTTATATGGTCTGGCAATTCATCTGATGGTTTTTAATAGGAACAAGAAACTAAAATAAAAATGAACATAAAACAGTATTAATATTAAGGACAATTACAAGTTTTCCATGCACTTCGAGAAGCTTGCCTAATATGTAAGTTGTATCTCTTCTGTCTTGTCTAATATGTATGTTTCTTATAAAAGGATACAACAACTTCTCTAGCCAACTTTGGCATGACTAATGTGTACCTCATATCTTAATATGATTTCTATTATTTATCCCAATAATATTCTTAACAGCTTTTCCTTGAGCTAAATGAGCTTTTTTGAAAATAGCATGCATATATCATCTTATCCGAGATGTTTCAGAATAGTACATTGATTTCGTCGTCCTTTTCTTGTTTTGTTTATCGTATAAAGTTATCTGGAATTTCTGCGAACTCTTGAAGAGAAAGTTGATCAAAACTGGGCTGAAGTTTCTTCATCACTTGAGGAAATCCGCCAATCCTTACTTTCAAGGAAAAATTGCCTAGTCAACATTACTGCTGATGGCAAAAACCTCACAAATTCGGAGAAGTTCATTGGCAAATTTCTTGATTTGCTTCCTAATGAACCTGTCATTAAGAACAGCTCTTGGAATGCTCGGCTTTCTTCAGATAATGAAGCCATATTGATACCTACTCAGGTAAGGGCATTCTCTTATTAGTTTTTGTTCTTTTTTTTTTTCTCCTAAACTATTTGTTAATAGCTAACTCCTGCAGGTAAATTACGTTGGAAAAGCAGCTAACATTTATGAAACTGGCTATCAACTTAATGGAAGTGCCTATGTTATTTCAAAATATATTAGTAATACTTGGCTATGGGACCGTGTTAGAGTAAGTGGAGGTGCTTATGGAGGGTTTTGTGATTTTGATACTCATTCAGGTATAAACTTGTGCTACCATCTTTTTGCCATTGCATGAAATATCAGTAGGTAATCTTACCCTATTTGAATTGTATTTGCAGGAGTATTCTCCTTTTTATCTTATCGTGACCCAAATTTGTTAAAGACACTTGATGTATATGATGGAACTGTTGATTTTCTACGTGAATTGGAATTGGATAACGATACTCTAGCAAAAGCCATAATTGGAACGATTGGAGATGTTGACTCATACCAGCTTCCTGATGCTAAAGGTTATAGTAGGTATGTTTACACTCTCTTCTCGTTCTACAATCATCAGCCTGTTCTGTGTATTTAAGTCTAAACGTCTTTAGCCAGGTTTTGGTCATCAAGCCTCGCCCGACAGATTTTGTTATACTTAGATAACAGGAACTTGTATTTTGTAAACAAACCTCTTAAAATAAAAGGAAGTCGTGAAAAATAGCATCCAGGAAAACAGAGAAAGAAGTGTTCCTCTTAACTATTATGCGAGCATGTCTATTGCATCCACCCAATACCAAGCTATTATAGCATTCATTGTATGCTAAAATGGATGGATATTGATTGGATACGATTGGGTAATCTCCATTATCTTAATATGTTAATAGAACATCGACACAGTAAAGTATATTTCATAACATAAGGATACAAAGACACAAATTAAGAAGTTTTGAATACATTTAATTTTCTGATGAAAAAAATTTTCTTTGTTTTTTCCTCCCCTCTATAATTTGCAAGGCAGACATTTAATTTCAAGAAAGACAAACTAATTTTCTGCCAGGCCTACAAGTTATTTATATTTGTATTTCAATACTACGAACAACTTCAACCAAAAAAAACCCGGACAATTTTGTCTCTCTCTGTTAAATCTCCGTTCTGTTTGAAATAAATTTACCATCTACATTTGTTCTCTTCAGCTTGTTGCGTCATTTGTTGGGAATTACAGAAGAGGAAAGGCAAAGGAGAAGGGAAGAGATTTTATCAACCAGGTAAAAAATGACTACTGGCTAATGTTTATTTTAGCAAGCAAGCTGTCAATCCTTTCCCTCGGAAATACTGTTGGCTGTGTTGAAGTATAGTAAGTTAGGAAATGTTTTGGCTTGCAAATTCTCTTAATCTGTCATACCAATGAAGATTGTCAATTTTTAGCCAATCTGCATGCTGTTAGATTTTTATTGGGGGGGGNGGGGGGGGGAGGATTTTCCATCACATCGTGCATTAGTTCTCTAAAGTCTAAGCAAGTCCACTGCCCGAATATGCTCGCTTAAGTCGCATTCTCTGGGGACATTTTAGGTTGCAAGCTTCACCTCTTTTTTTTTTTTTGTTCGAAACAATTTCATTGATAGATGAAGTATAGGGGTAAGAACTCCAAGCTCCTATTGGTGAATTACAACCTCCCCAATTGGAGATTAAATAAGATGAGCTATGATGATTATAGGTCGCTTATTTTTGCTAAAAACAAAGAATTAGAAAGAATAGTGTCCATGAAACAGTCAAAAGAAGAGTATATTTCCCTGATAATATGACAATTCCTTTCGTCCCGATAATATCCTTGAAAATGCGACATCTTAATTCTAGGAATGTTAAGTCTAGGGGTTTCAGTTGAGGGTTAAAAAGCTTTAGTTGAAGAAACTGATAGAATCTGAACAGAACTAAAATGATATTGAAATATAATAAAGGTAAAGAAACAAGTTAATGCAACTGTTTCGAGGTACTTGGACCCTCCCCTCTTGAGAAATCTCTGAAGCCTTAATTCACTCACAAAAATAATGCCCAACTCCCTCTATTTATAACCAAATACCCAAATAACTTCCATACTAATTACTATTACATCCTTATTAACGTTCCAATAAAAAACATGGGAATGTTAAGTCTAGATGCAGGTTCAACTTCTTAAGTAAAGTTTCCCCAAGCCACTTTTAGTGAAGGCTCTCTTGTCATGTTTTTTCACTCACAAAAGTAATGAATTGGCATTAGGCAAGGGTAGGCAAGGGTAGGCAAATCATTTAATTCTATTTCCGGGTTTTATTATCTGGTTCATAATAAATTGCTTCGCTACTCTTTTGCCATGACTTATGTCCATCTCTCTGCCAACAGCTTGAAGGACTTCAAGAACTTCGCCGACGCACTCGAGGCAGTCAGAAACAAAGGAGTGGTAGTTTCAGTTGCATCTCCCGAAGATGTCGAAGCTGCACACAACGAACGCCCTGGCTTTTTCCAAGTGAAGAAAGCCCTCTAAGATAACCCTCCAAGCTCCCATTGCAGCACCATCCCCACTTCCAAAATCTACAAACAAAGAGAAGAGAAACAAACCAAAACAGATTTCAGAAAAGGAAAAGGTAACCAGCATTACTGATTCATTTTGCAATTCTGGTATGGCATGAACAAAAACATTGATTGTTTCAGAAAAATTCAATAGTTAATATTTGATCTATTGTGTACGAACATGGGGGATTTGATAGTTCTTAAATGCTGCAAGCAGTGGGGGGGAGCTGTGTTTATTGATATGATGAAGAGAAGGAATGGTGATGTATTTAATTCTTGCGTGTCTCCTCTGATCACTTGCTTTCAGTTTTGATCAGGTTTTGTTGCTCTCTCTGTGCTGTCTTTCGCCCCGCCCCCTTTCAATTTATTAAAGGAAACCATATTTATTATTTAAATATAACCCCCCATTCATTTCATTTTTGAATCCACTTGGTTCTTCATTGATTTGGACAGTCTTATTGATTGCCATTTATATTTTTTTCAATTTCCATTTTCCGTTTTTTTTAAAGATGTCTTCGGTTCTATTTTTGTTTTGGTGGAGTTGCAGCTGTAGTATTTCCTTTTCACTTTTTACTGTTCTGTTTGGGGTTAAATTAGAACTTCTTTTTAGTTGTTTCTATCGGTTGATTAAAATTTACTAGAAGTGAATTGTGATGTCTCATATTGGTTGGAAAGGAGAACAAATCACCATTTATAAGGGTGTGGAAACCTTCTCCTAGTAGACGCGTTTTAAAGCCTCAAGGGGAAGCCCGAAGAGGACAATATCTGCTAGTGGTGGATCTGGGTCGTTAGAAATGGTATCAGAGCCAGACACCGGACGAAGTGTCAGCCTTCTCGCTGTTCCCCGAAGAGGGGTAGACACGAGGCGGTGTGCCAGTAAGGACGCAAGAATGCTGGTCCCAAAGGGGGTGGATTTGGGGGCAGTCCCACATCGATTGGAGGAAGGAAAGAGTGCCAGCGAGGACGCTGGGCCCCGAAGGGAGGTGGATTGTGATGTCCCACATTGATTGGGGAGGAGAACAAATCACAATTTATAAGGTTGTGAAAATCTTCCCCTAGCAGACGTGTTTTAAAGTCTTGAGGGGAAGTCAAAAAGGAAAAGCCCAAAGAGGACAATATCTGCTAGCGGTAAATCTGTGTCGTTACATGAATACCATATGAATACCATGGGGTAAGAATTAGCAAAAATTCAAGTTATTTGTGATTATACTTAATTTAGTTTTCATTTGGTCTTTTATGAAACGATTACATTTTTGTTCTTGAAATTTGAATTTAGTTTTTATTCGATGTTTTAAGTTCCTGTCTAGGTTTGAAGATTTTGTTTGTGTGGAAAAGTATTATTTTATGCTCTAAGCTCAACTTTTGTAAGCGTATTAATTTATGCTCTCTATTACATTTGTTTGGATAAACATGTGTGAGAGAGATGGATAACGTTATCCATTTTCAAAAGTGACTCGATTTATATTTTTGTTCAAGGCTTTTTTATTAAAAAATAATTATTCTCGCATTTGATTGTCTATTTTGTTAATTTGATCAAAGAAGATCATCTTAACAAAGTCATTAAATTGATTCACTATGATAATTTAGAATTTAGTTAATGTAATTATAAGAATTTGTGAAATTATTTGGACAGTAAAAATGCAACATTTTGAAACTTATATATTTATATATATAATGACCCACCTAAATAGAAGATTAGGCCTTAAAATAAGGCTAAATTAATAATTAAAAAAAAAACTCTTAAACTAGTATTTTTTCTAAAAAAACACTTTTAATTTTTTTAATAATAATAGATGAAAACTTTTAATATTTGTTTTAAAAATACTCTAAAAAACATCTTTAACATTTATAATATATGTTAAAAAAAACTCAAAAAATTTAAAAGTAGTATTATCGTCCTTTAACCTTTATAAATAAAAAAATTAAAAAAGTTTCTATGTCAATAATATGGACATAAACCATCTATCTACCCTTATATTATTTTTCTTTTTAACGTTAGTTTTGAAAGTTTATTATTTTTTTAAACGTGGTACCAATAAGAATTTTTAAATAAAAAAAAGGTTAAAAAAATGTTTTTGAATTTTTTTTTTAAATTAAGGGTATTTTTTTAAAGGTTTTGAAAAAAAAAAAAAAATAGGAAATCATATTTTTAACTTGAAGTATTATTAAAACTTTTAAAAGTTTTAAGGATAAATAATAATAATAATAATAATTTAAAGTTTATTTAGAGGTGAGTTTTTGAATCCATGTGACTCTAGATTCCTATTAATTTAGCCCCAATTTATTTGTCATGGATTTATAATATTAATAGGGATGGAGCTAAGTTTAGTATGAAAATGTGCTAAATTTTAATAAAAATGTAAGGATCATGAGCAACTTTAAATATTCATCAATAAGGTTAGGTATAAATAACAAAATTATATTTCAACCCTTTCATTAAATTGTAACAAAAAATGTAATGTCATGTCATCTATCTATTTTAGTCTTTTATATCATGCAATCATACAATATTTAGGTATTACGTCCACTTTTACATTATATTGCCTTAATTTTCAGTTAAAATAGACACTATCAGTGATCGATTATGTGAGCTATCTAAATCTTAAACGCAAACTAACCCATAATTGCTACAATAATCTCGTGCCATTGTGCACGTTCCATCTATACCGCTCACCATCATCAGGGTCTGTCAATGTTGGGAGGCAACACAAACATCCCGCGTCTAGTCAAGTTCATGTCATACGCCAAATGCACTTGGTTCGACCTCACCATGCACATTCTGCCCCTGCAGCACTAATCATCATCGAGCATGCTTAAGGCTAGGAGGTAACACCACATTATCTCTATAACCGACCTACAGTCACTACAGTTGGTATTAGAGCCTAGTTTTATACTAACTTAGAGTTGTTACAATCTCGTACCCAACGAGGTTCATGTCGTGAGACAAAAGCCCCCAACCCCACTTCACCTTGCACGTTTTATCGTCACGCTACCCACCATTCTCGAGGTTGAAGGCTACACAAACTTGAAAAGCAACACTATAATTCTCATATAACGAGTTGGGAGGCAACACAAACATCCCGTGTCTAGTCAAGTTCATGTCATACGCCAAATGCACTTCGTTCGACCTCACCATGCACATTCTGCCACTGCAGCACTAATCATCATCAAGCGTGCTCAAGGCTAGGAGGTAACACCACATTATCTCTGTAACTGACCTACAGTCACTACAGTTGGTATTAGAGCCTAGTTTTCTACTAACTTAGAGTTGTTACAATCTCGTACCCAACGAGGTTCATGTCGTGAGACAAAAGCCCCCAACCCCACTTCACCTTGCACGTTTTATCGTCACGCTACCCACCATTCTCGAGGTTGAAGGCTACACAAACTTGAAAAGCAACACTATAATTCTCATATAACGAGTTATATGAAACTAATTATAACATAATTGGATTAGACTTTGATTACTTCTTGTCTTACAAGCTTAATTTAACATTAATTTATTTTATCTTTAAAAAAAACTAATTAGTATAATTACTTTTAAAAATAAATTTAAAATAAAAATAAAAAAAAGGATTGAAATTGTTATGATTATGAAGAAGTTGGAGGATTCGTATTTCCAAAAGCTGCCCAAAATCTTCGCAACGACTTCGTTCCAAGCAATAAACAAAGATTGCCGCGTCGGAGATTGACGATTTTCAACCGTTGAAACAGGATCGCCGGCTCTCCGTCACCGTCGTCGGTAACCAACATAAGCGGCAACCACTTCCCCGCTTTCTGGTCGGATCTCTGATCCTTAAGCCTTCTCTTGCTTTATTTTTGTTTTTCTCTCTCTAGAAATGGTTTTGGAGAGGCAATGAAAGCAGAGTTCGAGTTGGAGGTGGAAACGTCGATGGGCGACTGTAAGCGAGTTGCGGTGATGACGGCGGCGAATAATGCTGGTTGCATGTCTAAGAGGAGGAGAATTTCCGGTTCGCCGGAGAGATTGCGGCCGTCGGCGTCTCGGTCTGACCTTGGAGACCGTTGTTTGTGGTTGGAGAATGCGACAACGTCTCTGTCGCGTTTGGAGAAGAAGAATTCCCTTGACATTGTCGCCGGAGGTGAGATGAGAGATGGCTTTTCAGAGGATCAGTTTCCGGTTTCTTGTAGCTCCAGTAACGACTGCGGGAAGGCCACCGTCGTGAAATTCGAAGATCTGGAGGTGAGTTTCTAATTTTTGATTGAGGAGTTTACCTCTCTGTTTGTTTGGAATTTGGTATTTAATTTTGAGTCTCTGTTTTTTGGTTAGCGAGAAAATGGAGAAGAAGAAAAAGTATCATTAAACGTAACCGGTTCATAAATCATGTTTTCTATATTCTCCGTTGAAATTGAATTTAGATAAATTGTTTTTCATATTACCGCGACTTTTTCCTGCAAAAAATTTCAGTTCGTGATTTGTTCGTTTCTTCATCGTTTAATTCAGTTCAGTTCTACTCATAAAATCAGGACCGTTTCTACAAAATGTTTGTTTAGAATTCAAGTCTGTACGTATTTTTTATCGTATTTATTGAAATTTATCTTCAATGCGCCATAGCTGCAGACCAAGAGCTTCGAAACGGTAGAGTCGATTCCTGTTAACGACATTCAAAGGTTCATTGCACTTTACTATTTTCCTTTTAATTTCCTCCATCGAAACAGATTCTGAAACGCTTGATCTTCTCTTTCGCCATTTCTCACTCTGTTTAATGTTTAATTTCTGTTTCTTTCTTCTTCTTTTAGTTATAATTACAATTTGAATCTCTTCAGAGAGAGCACTCCAACGAGCAATCTCCACGGAGATTCAGACGAAATGGACTCTCCGGCGACGAACTTCTTGACTGACAATCAGAAACCACCGGATCGTCCGAAGACGCCGCCGATTTCTGAGATCGAAGATTTCTTCGCTGAGGCCGAGAAGTACGAACAGAAGCGTTTCTCAGAGAAGTGAGTACAATTTCTACACGCGCATGATAACCTCTCTGATTCCGCGCATTTTAGCCGAACCAAAACCTAACTAACTTTCTACTTCTTCTTCGTTAATCGATTCAATTTTTCGCGTTCGTCTTGTTCAGGTACAACTTCGATATAATAATGGATGTGCCGTTGGAAGGCCGATACCAGTGGATTCGCCTGAAGCCATGAAACACCAGCTAACCTCAAGCTAAGCCTCCTCCGGGATCTGGATTTCTCCGATTTCCTCCATAGTTTTCCAAAAACTTCGAACTCTTTCCTTCCGAAAGAGACTCTGTTAATTTCTTCTTTTGTACAGCTTTCAACTCCATAACAGAAGCTCCGAAACTAAATACTTTCAGTAT